GGAATGTGCTTACATGTAGTTGAGACTTGCGATTTATGCCGAGAACAAAACATAGAAGAACAGAAGGCTGATCAGCTGACACGGTCTGATTGTTTTTTTCTTTTTCTTTTCTTCTGTTGATATTTACCCCGGTGACATCAGCAGGGAGACTGAATATGAGGACTCTTGAGCCGGATTGGATGTTGAGGCTGATAGGCTGATGTTGGTGGTGGTGGTGGTGGTGGTGGTTGGTAGCTGAGCTTGAGCTTTCGGGCATGATGTCCATGTTGATGATGAATTTTTCAGGTGGTCGGCGTTTTTATTGTATTTATTTTTTTGGAAGGCAGTCTACCCTTTACCACGGGGGAGTCGAGATCAGCAGGTGTCACAACCAACAGATAGGATGTCACAGATCAACCCCTGCTGTGCTCGCCCACGTCGCACTCCATTTGGGAAAAGACTGTCTGGAAGCCGTGATAGCCAAGTCAGGTTGATAAGATGAAGTGGAAGATGGTCAAGCTTGCTTACTTCGCAAGTTCACAATATTCTCAAAGGTCAGTGGATGAGTATGTTATTCAAAGTGGCTTGCTCAGCAAGAGAAAAGAGAGTCAACAACAAGATCCAGAATGCTACCTGCTCGTCGCCATGGACTATCAATCATGAAAATATCTATTAGGGTGAGAATCTGGCCAGGAAACAGCTTACGATTGCAGCTTCTGAGGAGAAGTATTAGATACACAAGAGATAGAGAGGAGAGTCCACATTGAAAGACACTAGACTTGGACAAGTCCGGTCCCAGTCGAGGTAATGACTAGTAATACAAATAACTAGAAATGGAAGAGATGGAAACTCATGTGAGGGGCCGAGAGCGGCGATGATGGTGATCAGAGTTGAGAGCAGCAAGGACTTAAAAGAAAAGGATGGGTTAATACAGCATGCTCCGTCTTGGCAGCGGTAAAACTTTCTTCATTCGACAGTCGCTAAACTCCAATGCCATCGCAAAGTACAGGCTACCAGCTGAATAACAAACTCTACAGTAATTCGGCAATAAATTCTCCAATTATGCCTGACCGTGTTGGTAATCGGAATGGCCGCTGGTGTTCTTCTGGAAGGGCGTCGAAGCTTTAAACACATAGATTGAAGAATCAGTTGTGAACGGCAAAGTCCATGATAGTGCATACCTTTGGCTCAATAGACTTTTGACAACTGCAAAATCCACTTCGTTTTTGGCTGAAAAAGGGTTTGCTTTGGCTTTTTCTGCAAGATCACTGGCCGGTTGCCACTTTTTATAGCTTGGGTGGTGGTGTTCTAGCTTGTCTTGTAGACCCTGCAAAAAAAATTCAAAGTGAGTATCAATAGATTTTGAATGACTCACCCTGTAATTCAGTCATCATTTGGGCATAGTTGTTGCTTGTAGTGCCGTCACTTTTTCCTTCCAAAACCACGATTACACAAAGTTTGAGCACCATGTATACAAACTCATAGCGTCCTTCGCTATCATCTGTGCCTTTTATGAATCCATCAAGATTGCTGGTGACAGTACCGTTGAAAAGGTTGCTTCCCTCCACAAGAATCTATGAAATGGTGAAGAATGCCAAGCCTTATATTTCTTACCTTGCCCAAAAAAAAACAAGCAAACAGGCACTCAAGGGGTTTGACTTACGGCTTGCATCCATGCAGCAACCTTGGCCCCATTGGTTGCAGCGCTTAATGAACAGGTGTCAACTTTGATTTTTTCTATTGCACGGAAAACCGCCTTGGTGAAGCTTTGAGGGATATGTGGTTCGGGGGGGGGGATTGTAAACTGGGATGTGAGTGGGGTGCTTATATTGTGGCCATAATTGAGGAGCATGTTTCCACTCTATTTGGGAGAGAAATGGAACAAATCTGTCTGGAAACCATGATAGCCAAGTAAGGTTGATAAAAAATATTAAGTGGTATGCAAAATTTCAAGATGGTCAAGCTTCCTTACTTCGCAAGTTCACAAAATTCTCAAAAGGCAGTGGAATGAGTCCGCAGAAGTTTCACAAGATATACACCACCTTGTCCTGGGTCATTGCATAATTCTGACATGTACCATTCATAGGACACTAGTGGTTGGTCACTTTTTTTGGAAGAAATTTTCCGCTAATACATGAGCCAATTCCTGCTCTGAAGTTAGTGGTAGAAAGGATCTTGTTCTGCTTTTTGTTTGGCATTTTGCTGAAGGATTGGAGTGATTAATGTCAAGCCTCATACACAATGGAAAAGAATAATCGTTAGTTTGTGGACTAGAACCAGAAGCTGAAGATGTCAAGAATGTACCGTCTTAAGCAGTGCAAGGAGAGCAGGTGACGTGGTCGCGTCGGCGGGAGGTTGTAATGAAGTGGGATAGGCTGTAGACGTGAAGCTAATGCGGACGAATGCGCTAGAAGGGGGGCTCAAAGGCAGATGAACTGCTAATTGCCAAAAAGGAAGCTAGGCGGTGCTATACGGTGAAAACAGTGTGATGAAGCTGATGCAAGCAGGAATGAGAAGTAAACAAGAGAAGGGTTTAGGTACCGGGCAAGAAGAGAGAAGGAAGGGCTGAACAGCTGCAAACACAGATGGGCAGCTGCAAATCAACTCGAAACAAGAGAGGGCCATCGGGGCCATGCTCCTGGCCGGGTAGGTGTAGTCCAGGGTCCAGTCCGGTCGTTAAGACCATCGTCACCGCACAGCTGTCATTGTCCACTCTGGCACTCCGCTTCACCGCATGGGTTTAGGGCAACTGGACTATGCAGTCAGCCTTCTGAGATAAGCCCAGTTCCCGGTTTCATATTAGTCACTACTTGAGTCGCGGCTGCGATAAATATCTTGGTCATTCATCCAACTTTTATAAGGTCACGTAAAGCCTCTTAGAATGGAACGCGTGGCTACGTCCCACGACTAGTTTGTTGCTCGTACCTCTGTGGATAATGGACATCTAGATTATAATTAACGGCTTGCTTGTGTGGCTCAAGTATTTGATGCACTTCATGGACCCCCACCATGTGGGAAAGACACCAAAGAGACGTGTTTTGATGAAAGCTTACAAATAACTTCAAAAGACCAAATTGAACCAGTACTTTCGATGTTGATGAAAGGATAAACATACAAAATGTTAGCAAGGCCGAAAAAAGGGTGTCGACTGCGGATTCTGCAGAGAACATATCGCCCCTCACTATTGGCAAACCGGCACCAGACAATGGCATCCCAGCGCTTGTCGAGAAAGAATTCTTATCGTCCGCAACCTGGTACGACCCGATTATACATCACGGGTCGCCGCGGCCCGCGGAGGAATGCTCCCGAGTCCGGCCCACCAAGTTCGGTCCTCCAATTGGACCTGGGACATGTTTCACCACTCGCCGGGGAGAAACTGTTCCAAACCAACATCCCTATACCGGCTTACCAATCATCAAGCATCCAGAATCATCCCTAGCAGCGACCCGGACTACTACGGAAGCCCTGGACCGTAGACTACACGTATTTCCAGAGCGGTGCTTTTGATCATGACCTCTTGCAACGCGGTTCGCGCGATGGCACTTTTGTTCTGCCCAATCGATGGGCAGCAGATGCTGAGCTTTGAGCAATATTGTCCCGAATGACCCTGGTTTGGACAAGTGTTTAGGTATGTAGTGGTAGTACGGACAAGAGTCCAAAGTCTCATATATGTAGCATACATCGACTGTCACCCTTGAACTGATATGTACCATGAACCCGTTTGGTGCTTGGTTTGGCTCTCGCCCCTGAGGTCCCCACCAGGACTGATGACATGTGTGAGCTCATGTGTTCAAGCGGCTTGGAGAACACAGAGACAATGTGACGCGTAAGAGACCTTAAGGAATGTTCGAATGGAAGCTCTCTATGGATGCCGGCGTGGGTGCTGAGGTCCCGTGGGGATGCTGACCAGAGTCCAACAAGGCTCAAAAGCAAAGCATTATAAGACGCCCTGGTCTGCTTATCCGCCAAGCCCACCCGGACCTTATCCAAATTTTACCGCAAGATGACCTCGACAACAGCCATGTTTCCGCAACGATTCATGTGGCTTGTGATGAGTGCAGTCCTATTAACCCTTTCTGGCTCAATGGTCGTCGAAGCTGCTCCTCCCACCAGTGTTCTACAACCAGAAAAATTCACGGAGCCTAATCTTGACCTTAGCTTGTCACTTCCTCGGCACGATTCGCACGTCGATACCAACTTGCGACTGGGATCAATTTATCCAACATCAGCAGAGAGAGTTGGTGCTGATGATTCAACCAAGCTTCGTGCCAACGGAGGACGATACGGTTCCGGCAATTCTGAGAGAACTCTCAAGGACCCTCGAATCGACCCAGAAATGGGCGAGCTTCCCCTAAGCCTTGCACCACCCGGTCCAAGGGCGCTGGTTGCTGCTGGCAAGAGACCCATGAGCGCTCGACTCCAGTCGGAGATGGACGCGCCCAAGACCCCAGTTAATGGAGCGCCCATCACATTACAAAGAGTGGATGGCGATGAGGCAGGTTCTTCAAGTGCTCCAGGTACGTACTCCGCTGACTCAATCAAATATGAGATCACACTCTTAACCCGACCACCCATCTACTGTCTTTACCAGCCAAGACTCGAGCCACCGGAGAACGAATGGCCCATGTCGACACAAAGCCGATGGACCCTCCATTATACCTAGGAATGACCGCACATGAAGCGGGTCTAGCGCCCCAAAAGCCCCGGGATGGCGCACAAATAACACAATCGCGACCTATTAATGCCGCTTACCTTCAACCTTCAAGTGACAAAACAGGCCTGTCGGAAGCGCACCCAGGTACGCACTTCTCTCAGAGGTTTCTGTCTTGACGCACTAGCCCTGACCCTAACAATCTAATGGTCATATCCTCTTTTCAACAGTGAAAATCCAGCAGAACCCTCCAAACTCTGGCCAGAACTTTCACTCACATCAGTCCTCCCAATCCAACAGCCCACAATTCATTGCTAGCCCTGTACAATCCAGCCAGCACTCGTTGGTAGGATATGACCCCAAGAGTAAGCCCTTCATGACTATCTTGGAATTGTCTCAGCAGTTTATGGCCAGGATTTGACACGGAAAATGTACTCATTTGCTGCTTTGGTTTCCCAATCCTCCCGGGTGTTAAACGAATCATTACTAAAGCAAAACTATATTACTATCGAGTCGCCCAAAGGAGCCCCGCGGTCAACACCCCAGTCGCGGTCAAACCCCGTCCCAACGCCGGCCCATCGAACCCAGACGCTCGCCTCGCGCAACTTACCAGAGATCCAAAGCCTCTCGGACCCAACGAGATTCGTCCCCCGCTCACATACGAACAAATCAGACACCTTGCGCCCTATCTAAACGAGCCACAGGCCAAACGTTTCAAGCAGTATATGGACGGGATGATGGAGCCCGACTCGCCCGGTATACGCCAGCAAGCTAGCTCCGGAATCACTTTCAATCGTCTCGGCTCCGATGGTACTCGTTCTCCTAATACAGGCTCTTCTAGTCCACCAACACCTTACTCGAACCTCAAACCTAATGTTTAGATTCATTTCTTGATAATTTGTCAACTTTTTTTTCTCATAATGTTAAGCTACCCTTGCTGTCGTGGGGTTCGTGTTGGAATCGGGCCTGCAAGACTACAGTCTGCTTATCCGGGTCCATGAGCACCAAAAAAAAACAGGTTCTTCCATCTCTTCGAAGTGTTCCTCATTATTGATCCACACATCTGTGTCTCTAGACTCTACTCTCATTTAATTTGTTTCCCCTGAATTCTTTTCTCTCATTCAAATTTTCTTCTCTGACTTCCTCGCTCTCATTCACAAGTTTCCCTCAGACCACTCAGATCGGCTTTTTTGAAGCCAGATGTGTTGACTGCTTAATCATTCCTTGAATAATTTTACCCACATCGCTCTTTACTGCTAGAAATATTTTAATGAGTTTGCAAAGAATTTATCTAACTAGATTGATAAGGCACATGCCAAAGCACTGAGATGCTTCAAATGCGTAACTGCGAGTCCAACTAAATAGAAGCGAGTCGATAAAATCTTGAACAGAGCCTATCAGTATCATGAAGAGGACCCCCGAATTTTTCGAGGGACATTATCTTCAGGACAGTTGCAGTCATCTACTAAAAAATCCAAGGGTCAAGAATAACATTTGATGCCGGTTCAAAAAGCATCAAGTATTGCCTCCAATGGCTGATTGAACTTGTTGGTTTAGGACTCCGGTCAAGGGTTGCAACGAAACTCAGGATAATTAGGTTAGTTATGATTTTACTACAAAATATCCATCTAGTTTATATTCTGACACAGAAGTTGAACCTTCTGATTTTTGATCGAGTCAGTTTGTTTTGACACTTCTCTCTTTTGTCAAATTTTTGACGCTTCTTCAGTAGGGATTTACTTGGAGGAATAAACAAGTAAAATATTAACAATGGTTTACTGACGGGGATACAAAATTGAATCAGTATGGAGGCCCAGTCAGGACAGTGTTAATAGTTATTTATGAACTTATAATCAACCCGAAGACAAAAGTTGAAACTGACCATTGGGAAAGCAATAATCATGGTCTGATGACTTGCATCATGTGCGTATTAAATACAGGCATACTGTAGCTGTCTGGACTGAACTCTTTGCCCAGCGATCACCGACCCGCTGAGGGTTTTATGACGTGAACCTAGTTTCACCCTGAGTGAGTCCAGCGCGACGGCATCCTTCCGACACAGGGGTGCTTCATCTAGTTGGGGTTTCACAACAATTGATCACAGTTGCGACTTGCATCCCGGTGACTCGTTCTGACTCGTGGGACTTGTAATGACTTCGGAGTCCAGGCATACTTTAGAATACAAGGACTATTTTTTCTTATTCGGGTGCCGTTAAGGTCTCGTGGGATGATTGGGAACATCCAGGTCTTTCCAGCAGTAAAGCCTTAAAATCGTCCCAAGATCCGGCGCCAGAAGGCTTGCCCAGCAGCGTCCTTTGTTGTTATTCAATCTTGAGAGCTTTACAACCCGCTTTAATTTTATGATAAGATGTCTTCGACTTTCACTAATCCGTCACATCGATTCTTTTGGCTTGGGATGTGTATCCTTCTTTTGACTCCTCCTGGTCCAACCACTATCCAAGCCGCTCTAGTCCCTGCAAGCACGCTGAAACCAAATCAAATTGTCGAGAATGGGCTGGACCTTGGCTCGCAATCTTCTTTGTGCGGTCCACGAGTTAATACCGACTTGCGACTGGGATCGAGTCATCTGCCCTCAGTCGAAGGAGTTCGTGCTGACATACCAGACGTCGAGGCTGGTGGCAATGGAAAACGAAAGGCCCCCACTCAACCGAGGAAAAAGTTGATGGACCCACAGCTTGACCCACAAGAACTTGCCTTAAGCCTGGCACCTCCAAACGCCCAGGTTGTTTCTGATGTGGCACAACCAAAACCTGACGGAGCTGGTCAGCTTCCTGCAGGCGTTGGCTCATCGACCTTTCCAGGTAAATCTTCATCTGAAAGCGCTGCGTCAAATCTTCACTTCTTCAACCCAATGACCATCTGCTACCCTCTCCGTACGGCACAGTGAGACCCGGGCCTAATACTTCCCGGCCTGTTCTAAACATCGCCCCCCATCAATCGCAACCCGTCCCGATGCGTTTGGTGAATGTCGCAAGCCCACAGGATCCACAGTACCAAGCCATCAAGGCAGCCGCCCCGGCAGAAAAAGGTGCTGAATCATTGGAAGCTTACTGCTTACCTGTGAATTGCTCATGCTGATTTTAATTACCTCTTTGATTCGATCGCCGCGCCTTGCCCGCTCCAAGAAGTAACACTTGCGTATAATACTCCACAGCGTCCTGGCCAAAACTTCTTGCCCAATCAATATCAGCATATGTCGACATATTTGGCGAATTTCGGACACGCGCAAAATCAGGCAGGCTCTCCGGCAAAAAAAGGTACTGAGTCACTGGAAGCTTCCTGCCTTACTTTCGATTCCCCTCGCACTAATTTTTACCTGCTCAATCCAATGGCCGTGCCTTATTCTCCCCGAGTAGCGAAACTTGCGCATAATACTCGATTGCCTGCCCAGAACCTATTCCCAAATCAATTCAAGAAACTGCCGTCGTATTTGCCAAATGTCGCAAATCCACAAGCTCCACAGTACCAAGTTTTGAAGACAGGCACCTCAACAAAAATAGGTACGGAGTCACAGCAAGCTTCCTGTCTTACTTTCAATTCCCTTACACTAATTTTCACCTCTTCAATCCAATCGTCCGTGCCTTACTCTCTCCCCAAGCAGTGAGACTTGCGCATAATAATCCCCAGCCTGTTCAGAACGTCTTCCCGCATCAATTCCAGGCAACACAGGCGCATTTGGCCAATGGTGCACACCCACAAATCCTACAATACCAACAGGCCAGGTATGACCCCAATGGTAAGCCCCATTTGATGAATTTATACATAAATATAGAAGTGTTTCTGGTTCATGAAAAGAGAGACAAAAGATGAGCTCATCTGATATTTCGTTTGCGCCCACGACCATCTACATACATAACACGAACAACCACACGTCTGCGCGTGAAAGGAATGAGATATTCCCATCAAACGATGCAAAGGATTCCCCAGCCAGGACCAGAGCAATACCAGGCCGGTCCGCTGAACCAAGTCGTTCGAATAGGCACACCAATCACCAATCTAAATGTCCTCCAATCGCACCCAAACGCTGTCCAGTCACAGGCCTTGTACAACATGATCCAAGATCAGTCGAAGCGGATTGCCCAACTTGGCAAGAGGCCAATCACCCAAGCTCCGGTTAGAAAACGCCAGAAAAAAATCCCCAAGGGCGCCGCCAAACTGCCTGAAGACCTTCCTCTTGATCGTTATATGTCGGATGCTGAGTCTTCTACATAGCCGAACAATACCTGATTTAATCCAGAAGCCTACCCGTCAGTTTGTTTTTGTGTTATGCCGCTTCCTATCTTGGTTGTTAATCTTATGTTTCAACTCACCCGGACGCCTAATGAATTTGACGTTTGTAGTGATTCAGATCATTCCCAACTGATGTGTTAACCTTGAATATCATACAAATACCTTGGTTTTGGGAATTAATTATAAGATAACATAGTCTGCTACTTTCCATCTGGAATTTTAAGCGCAATCAATAGAGAATGGGTTTGCATATTTACATGAGCTGTTTTCCTCTCACGCATCACAAGATTTATGTGGGTCATAACTTAGAGAGTCGGTTGTTTCCATCAAGAAACCAAGTGACAGTTAATTTAATTTCTGTTTTTTTTTTTTAAAAACATTATTTGCATCAGTTTTGTCTTGATTCATTCTTAGTCAGGTCTGCTTATAATTGGGTTTTCACTTTGGCATGATGTTAGAGATATGGTAAATGACATGCAACATCTTAATCTGATTTATTCACCAGTCAATTTTGAGGCTTTAGGCTTACATACACTCAGACCTATTTAACCACATACACACCTTGATGAGCAGAATTTTTCTCTGTGGTCTGGCAGTTTACTCAGTTTCAAAGTTTATATTTAGGCAAATTTGAAAACTTGACCCAAAGAGGTCACATGTACCCTTATGCAAGTATGTGGCTGACCAGATTTTATTGTATGTCCCTTTGTTGAAGATTACATCCATAGGTCTACCATTATGTGTGACAAGTGGCATTTTCATTGATCTTTGAGCAGTGAACTGTGAGTTTGTGGGCCATCATATTTGTTTTCTTGGTACATTGAATGAGTGACTTCTAGTCTACTCCCACATCTGAACCTAAGTAAGTTTCATAGTAGGCACATACATAATTAGTTCAACTTGTTCACATTGGGCATGTATTATCTTTGTTTTTGATGTTTCAATATTCCGAATAAAAAAACTCAATCACAAATTGGTAACATGTATATTAATGCTTTTTTTTTGAGGGGGGGGGGGGTTAAAAAAAGGAAAGCTTCAAGAAAGTGTAAAAGAGAGAGATACAAAGGAGCATACAGATAGAAATACAAGGTACAAAGTAACCACGACAAGTCATAATTTGTTTTGAAAGACAACAATGACAACAGACATGTATGTATAAGGTTTTGCAGAAAAAGGTATGTTTATGAGACAAGTATGAATCAATGTGAGGAAAAAGAGATGAAAAAAGTAGGGCAAAAGAAGTTTAGTAATATGTGGTTTGAGCTTCGCCTGGTTCATCATCCGTCGAAGGCTCGAGAGTAGCCCAAGGATTGACGTGTTCCACGGGGGCAGCATAGCTGCCTAAACCCATCCACGAAAAGAAAAAAAAAGACAATTTTCACAATTGATAAAATCTCTTTAATGAATTTAGAACTGTAGTGAAGAAGGATAAGAGAGGGGGAGAGGACTTGCCAGCGATTTGGTCTTCCTGGTAGGTTGATAATGAGTCTGGTAAGCCGTCCTGGTCAATCACTTCTAGCAGCCATCGTTGGTGGGCCGGATGGGCGCCTTTGATCGTCTCGAGTTTCTTGAGTAAAACTTCTGCCCCCGGATGAATCGATCCTCCCTGATAGATGTACGCGAAAATTTCGTTTTTTTTTATTAGGACAAGGAAAGGAAAAGGATTTGTCTGCACCGCTTGATTATTTAGAAAGTTGTACCTTGATGTCTAATACTCGGTTGATGTCGTCATTCGATGCAATCAAGTTGCTTGTCCTGTATAGCCATTTCTTTTATGTTCATTTACAACCACAAGTTTAGATCAGTGATGTTGTTTTATGTAGGAAAAAAAAGGGAGATAAACCTTACTTGGTTATGAGCATCCTTGCCGACTTTTTGATGCCACTGGCAAACTGTATCATGTATGCATCCGATGATAGGAGTTAATATGGTCTAGAATCTAAAAGTTCCTTGCTGGGGATGATCTTGAGTGTCTTCCTCCTATAACTCACCGTGAATATCACTGTATTGTTTTATTGCATTTTTTTGTGGAAGAGAAGAAAGGATTAATCAATACAAAATTTGAGAACATTTCTTCTTCTTTCCAAAACTTGCACTGAAAATAACAAAAAAAAACATTGATTGAGGGGAGGAAAAAAACTGACCCTAAGCGCTTATAGTTGCCATGTTCGTAATCCAGACAGAGGTTAGTCAGCTTGTTGACCAAGTAACCGTTCTCATGTTTCCAGAGTTGGGCTGCTGATTCCTGACCGACTGGATACAGATTGTATGTAGATATGAAGATGTTAGCAAATCAGGTAATGGAATTCCTGCATAATTAGTGAGGATGCTTACATTTTTGATCGACAACGACTAGTCGGGTCTACATATCGTATGTTGTTTGAGAGACACAGAGAGATGGTCAGAATGGTGTGCAAAATGGAGTGAGGAAGACAAGACTGACTGGTTCGAAACTTCCACCGAGTGGTTGGATGACTTTCTTTGAGCAAACCGACTTGATGTAAAACCAAGCTACAGAAACAACGAAACATGGAAGGATTAATACAAACTGAGGAGGGATCATCGATGTGCATATCTTTTCTTCTTATCTTATCACGGGACATACCGGTAGGGAAGTCGGCCATTGACGGAGTGTGTTGGTGTAATTGGTGGTGGTTGCTGTTGAGTTCCGGGTGTTTCCCTCGACTGCCAAGAGAGCCTAGGAGATCGAGTACAGCCCAACCCAACTACACCACACTACTACAAACTCAGAAAAAAACAACAACAAACAACAACATCATCATCATCATCATCATCATCATCAACAAAGAAACAAGCCATCAAACATGATCAAAATCGCTGTACTCACCTCGGGTGGCGATAGTGCCGGGATGAATGCAGCAGTCAGAAGCGTAGTAAGAACTGGAATCTCAAAGTGAGTCAGACAGAAACAGACATCTCTCCAAGCTGAAGCTAATCATCCACCCTATGACGACCATCACTGCAGATCGTGCGAAGTGTATGGTAAGCAGTCAAGAAGCCTTTAACAAATCAATCAATGGATGGTCGAGTAGACTGAACAATCTCATTGGGTGGTTTCACACAGTGGTTCGAGAGGGATACGAAGGACTAGTCCGAGGGAACGAAGCCCACCCCGAAAAGCACAAGGCGGACACCCTGATGATCCCAGAAATCCACAGCAACACTCGTCCGCAATGGCTCAAGACCTCCGATCGACCGCTGTCCACTAACTTCATCTCCACCTACTTCGGCGCCGAATCCCTCAAACATGGCGAGGCTGACAGCGAACTCAGAGGGCAACATATCATCAGGGTCGGGTGGGATGATGTCGGTCCGTTCCTAAGTGAGGTAAGCTTCCTCCTATCTATATATACAACCAACGATAAAAATCATTTATTTCATACCCAAAAAAAAATATAAACTAATTTGTCCTTATTTGATGATTTAGGGTGGTACCTTAATCGGAACCCAACGATCTCAAAGCTTTCGGCAACTTGAAGGCCGCAGAAAAGCCGCGCACAACTTAATCATTCACGGGATCAATGCGCTCGTAGTATGTGGAGGAGATGGCTCCTTGACCGGTGCGGATAAGCTTCGAGCGGAATGGCCCGAACATGTGAATGCGTTACTTGCCTCAAGTCAGTTGAAGTGCTCTCGTCTTCATACACAAAAGGCTTAAGGTAATTCTTCACACTAATTATTTGGGATTGAAATACAGATGAGATCACAGCCGAACAAGCCCAAACATACCACCACTTGATCATCGTAGGATTGGTGGGCTCGATCGACAACGACATGGCGATGACGGATGTGACGATCGGCGCGCCCACGGCGCTCCATCGGATCTGCGAGTCCATCGACAACATCTCCTCCACCGCCTCCTCGCATTCCAGAGCCTTCGTCGTCGAAGTCATGGGGCGCAATTGTGGATGGTTGGCCTTGATGGCTGGAATGAGGTTAGCCTTTTTTATTTCTGCTTCTTCTCTTCCAGGACTCTGCTTTCTAAAAAAAAAAATCATTCTTTTTCAGCTCCGGTGCAGATTATGTTTTCATCCCTGAAAAACCACCGGCATATGATGATTGGGAACATGAGCTATGTGAAGCCTTACGGAGAGTGAGTTAAATACCAAAAAAAAAGCGGGGAGGGGAAGGAGAATAATTCTAACCGAGTGTATTTTACAGCATCGAGAGATGGGGAAACGGAAGAGCATCGTGATAGTAGCAGAAGGAGCGATCGACAAGAACCTACAGCCGATCAAGGCGGACTACATTGCCTCGATCCTGACGGACCGGTTGAAGCTAGACACCCGAGTGACCACCTTGGGTCACACCCAACGAGGGGGGAAGCCGTGCGCATATGACCGCATCCTCGCGACCCTTCAGGGGATCGAGGCCGTCGAGGCCGTCCTCGAATTGTCCCGCAATCCGGAGGGCGAAAGCCCGTTGATCGGCTTGCGCGAAAACCAAATCATTCGGGTCCCACTCATGAAAGCCGTCGAAACCGTATGGATGATTTTCTTCCTTCTCCTCTATTTTTGGTTCCCTCAAAAAAAAAAACACTCTCTAACATGACTTCTAACTACAATGTTTTTTAGACTCAAGCCTTGGCTAAAGCGATCGCCAATAAGGATTTCAAACATGCGATGAGTCTCAGAGATACGGTATATCAAACCAGTTTCGATGCATTTGCGGCGACCACTCGGCTTGATACGCGGATCAAACTGCCAGATTCTCAGCAGATGCGGATCGGGATAATCCAGTTGAGTATTTCTTTTCTGGTCTCCTTCCATTCTGTGGACCCAAATCTAATAGAGACAACCAAAAGTATTGGTGCACCAGCAGGCGGGATGAATGCGGCGACCCGGACGGCGGTGCGATATTGCTTAACCCGGGGACACACGCCGCTGGCGATTTTCAACAGCTGGACGGGGCTGATGGACGGGCATGTGGAGGAGCTGGGGTGGCTGCGGGTGGACCAATGGACGACCCGTGGCGGGTCCGAGCTGGGCACCAATCGGGTCCTGCCCTCTGCTGACAACATCGACGAAATCGTCGCCCGGATTAAGATGTTTAAGCTCGATGGTCTCCTCCTCATCGGTGGATTCGAGGTGCTGAAGAGCCTCCAATTCTTGGACTCCGTCAAGAGTCAATACACTGAATTGGATATCCCCATGGTCCATTTACCCGGTCAGTCTCTTGATCCTCTTCTCTAAGCTCCTTCACAAAAACAAAGAACCCCGTTCGGCTCCGGCTGACAGTTTCTCCCTTGGGGATCATTCTTAGCTACGATCAGTAATAATGTTCCGTTGACTGAATGGAGTTTGGGGAGTGATACAAGTATCAACGTCTTAGTGGAAGCGTGTGATGCGATCCGACAAAGTGCCTCAGCCAGTCGTAGTCGAGTGTTTGTTGTTGAGACTCAAGGCGGAGAATGTGGTTATATTGCCATGCTAGGGGCCTTAGCAGTACGTTATATATTCGAGGCAGCACCACTTATAGCAAGCTAAGCAGGATTTTGTATTGTAGACAGGGGCAGCGGTAGTTCATACGCCGGAGATCCCGATCGGCTTGGAGCAGATCACGAAAGATGTGCAGTTCTTGAAGCGACGATTCCTTGCGGACCGGAAGGGGAAGTCACTGGGCCGACTATTGATCCGGTCGGACAAGGCGTCGAAGACGTACACGAACGAGGTGATGACGCGGATCCTGAATGAGGAGGGGCGGGGTTTGTTTGATGCGCGCCAGGTGAGTCTGGGGCACACCTTACAGGGAGCGATCCCTTCTCCTCGGGACCGGACCCGGGCAGTGGCCCTGTCGATCCAATGCATCGCCTTCCTCGAGCGCCATTCGACCAAGGTCGATCCTAGCGAACATCGTACCCCGCCTGCTTCGGCATCAGTCCTCAATCGCAATACTTCTCTGCCTAAGGTCGAGCCGATCAATCAGGACGACGAGAATATGTGGGGCACTATCGTGATCACGGGCAGTCTTATCAGGATCGCTAACCTCCAGGAGATGATCGAGAATGCCGACTTTGTCAATCGTAGAGCGCTCAAGCCTTGGTGGGCTGATTTCAAAAACCTCGTCGAAATCATGGCGGGTAAAAAACAGGATGAGATCTGTAATATCCAGGCTTGATGATCCTTCTGCAACCTTCTCTGCTATATTCCCCCTCCCCTCCCTTTTTTTTATATTTTGTTTCGGAGTTTGTATTTCTTTAGGCTATCATGATTGTTGTGTGCTCGAAACAAAAAATCTGCTCAGTTTACTATAAACAATCCATCCATGTGTTTTTATATGGATCTCCAAAAGCTCTCGAGAATATAGATGGGTGCTCATGAATAATCAGTTGCAATGTTGTGTTGATGCAAAAATATTGTATATAGTGTACTAAGTTGATTGATTGATTGATTGATGTATAATGATGCTTAATCTACAGATAATTGTTTAAGCTTGAGAGTGATCAGATATTACATGGATGGTTTTGGGTCTCGTCAGAATGTGTTGTGGTTGTTGTGGTTGTTGTTTATTTTGTGGGTGGAATGTAGACTGAGTTCAGTTTTGGGAGTTTTAGATCTGATGAGGTCATCTCAGTCAGCCAGTACATACTGACCAAGAAGCAGACACAGCAAAACCAACCAAAAACCAAAAAAAAAGAAAAGGAAAGGAAGAAGGACAACAACAACAACAACAATGAACTCAAACAACACACCACCCATCAACAGACTCAAACACCTACTCATCAACAAACTAGAACCACTCTCAAGCACCCTCAACATCCACCCAAAAACACAGCAACAACAACAACAACAACAACAACAACAACAACAGCAACAACAGCAACAACAGCAAAACTCATTCTCATCAACAAACAACCAACAATCACCATCTTCTCAATCAGAATCAGAACCAGAAGAATCACAACCACCAACATGGTCAGATCACCGACAGACTAAGACTATGGAGGGACGACGCACGCGCACAG